CATATTCTGTACACTAGCAACTGATATTATGGTGAAAGTACCCGAAAATTCAACTCAGTTAACAGAAAAGGCCGCGGCTGAAAAGAATTTTCAGTCAGAGGATGACTGTCTTCTGGGATGTTGCGCCTTATAGTCTTGTAGAATATTAACGACGTTTCAGAGGTGCTTGCTGGAGGCATCCCAGAAGAGAGCCATCTTCATACTCGCCGCCGTGAAGAACCGAATTTACCAATGTTCCAAGCTTCCCTGAAACAGCTACATGTTCAGCCCATCATTGCCTCCGCGACGTCAATAGTGACAATATTTCTCACATGAGGTCGCGTCTCACAAAACAACTGACAAAATGATTTTGTATGTATTTGTGTGTACACGTATGCATGCATGTATGTATACTCTTCAGAGTACCAATTCTTCGCCAACGATTTTCTTAAACACTACTGAAATAATGAGTTACTTACATTTCACAGCACACATCGTTATGAAAATCTTGTTTAATGATTCTGGCTATGTGCAAATTACATTAATTCTTAATATTCATTTTCATATTAAACCCCTTGAAGCCGATGCACGTCTTACTAACATCTGAAAATTCAGTCCTTACAACAAATAAAACACAAAACATAACCATTTAAAAATAAAATTGTACTTACTGCTTACGGAAATAAGCACTGTTAACTCTAAGAATCGTATGAAAACGGTAATTACACTTTGTGGGCAAAACGCAGAATGATTGATTGTAGAAGCTGGCGGTACATACAGTTACCAATAGACTTTAAAGTGTTACTAAATGTCATAAAATCGAGCAACGATAACGAGGCACTTTAACCTCTTAATTAACACGTGGAAATTGCACTGCAAGAGACGAAAACATGACTGATCTTACTTAATCACTAAGAAATAAAAACTCTGACATTACATAATTTGGTGAAAAGATACGTAACAAAAAATTTATTCATTTACGCATTAAAGAACAAACGGTTGCCTCAAGACAAAACATCAGTGGACATAAATGGCTTTATGCAACAAGCCCTATACGGTCTTATAGGAATCTCCATACATAGAGAATGGATGGTAATAGAAACGCAGGAGGATTGTGTGTGGCATGTGAAGCCTACAGGACGAAAACATGCCAAGTAATAACCAAATAAACCAGATTTTGTCAAGTCTTACAGATCTTGTTCTTTATCAATGACGTCACAATATCATTAACAACAAACGTACTTGAATTTATAATTACTTTGTTGAATTCTTGTACAATCTGCCTCATAGGATATCAATCCAAAAGAAACTCGTTCACTGGCTACGTCACATTTCAGAATTTGTTCGGAATTATATGTATCCATATGACATTATATTTATTTATTTGTGTGATTATCCAAACGTACATTTTAGAACGTTAACACAGTTACAGCTTATTGCAATTTGATAAATTTCATGTATGCAACATGTCAAAATCGATTGTATACCGAAAAACATCACGTTACTGAAACGTCATATAAAACATTATAAATTTCGCATTAAACATTTCTCCATTACACCTAATAGAAAATATGTATACAAGAACATATAAAAATTGACATTGTGCTTAAATGTAATACCGTATTTTTTATTTGATCCAAAACTATAATTTGTTAAAGACTCGCGATATATTAGTTAATAAAAATAAATGTACTTTAAGGTTACTCTTACGCCCAAATATACCGAGAAATGGGCAGTACTACAGTAAAAGATGCCAAACGCGCATACATGAGACAGTCGTTAATGTATCCAAATTTGATAGAAATGTCCTCACATCTTCTGTACCAGTAAACCAGTCGCACGACCAAGGGACTTACCTGGCTGCTGAAAGTCTGGAGCAAATTGTTTGGCTGTGGCCCTCGCAATATCAGAGTCTTCTCGCGCGTGGTCCGCCGCCATGTCTGCCATTTCCGCCTTGCCTCGAGCCGTCGCCGTCCTAAAAACACGACCATAAAAGCCCTGTAATCAACACGAAGCCTTCCTGCCCACTCCCACCACACAATGAAATAAGAGCTTCTTGGAAAA